GGGAAGGGGAGGGAGGGCGGGGGTGATGCAGCGGTGGAGGCGGCACAGTGCCCAGCCACTGACCGCCCCCTCCTTTTCCCCTTCCCCTCCCTTCCCTTCCCCCTCTCTCTGCCTCTCTCCGGCTCTGGGGTCTGCCACACCGGACCCGCTCTCCCCGCGCTGCGCTGGGTCGGACGCCAGGTCTGCGCGCCGCGGCTGAGCGCCCACTCTCCTTGCGGAAAGAGCCGCGAAGGGACCGGCGGAGGCGGCGGCGGGAGAGCTAGGAGGCAGCCAGAGGAGGTGGCAGTCGGGAGCCAAATCAGAAGACCGGGAGGCAGAAGCTCACGAATCCCAGGCGCGCACTCTCTTGGCCCAGGATGGGTCCCGGCGCGGCCCAACCCCTGACCGGCCCGCCGGACAGAGACTGAATTGCAGGTCCCCGTCGTCCTGTGGACGGCCGTATAGAGGGAGGCACAGACCGATCACCAATAGCCTCCCGGCGGGACCTCGCGTTCTGCGCACCCCGTGCAGCGCCCCCAGCCGGAACCGCGCCGGGCAAGCCGGCGAGGGAGCGGGGCTGATTGGCGGCCGCCGGCGGCCGGGGGAGGGGGCGCCGCGCGGGGCCATGGCAGGCTCGGAGGCGTCCTAGCCCTAGCCCGAGCCGGATCCGAGCCCGTGCTGCCGCCACAGCCACCTCTCCGCGCCCGGGCCCCCGCCGCCGCCGCGCCCCCTGCGGGAGATGGAACAGAGGAACCGGCTCGGCGCCCTCGGATACCTGCCGCCGTTGTTGCTGCACGCCCTGCTGCTCTTCGTGGCCGACGGTGAGCGCGGGAACTTTGCTGCCTCGGGGGGCTCGGGAGGTCCTTGCCAGGTCTGCCAGAGCCAGCCTGCCCGGGTAGCCACGAAGGAGGAGGAAGAGAAGGGGAAGGCTTCACGGTCTCCAGCAATCCCGGTGTGCAGCCCCGGCCCGCAGGGGTAGGGGGTGGAGAGAGGCGAAGGGTCGCCGCAGCTGTGGCGCCCGCGCCCGGGTCATTCGGAGCCAGACCTAGGCTCCACCTGCGGACAGGCTGCTTGCGGGGCGCGGGAGTTGGCGCCCCCCAGCCTGGCTCTGGTAGTGCGGCCAGGCGCGGGGGAGAAGCGTTTAAGCCACCCCTGCTGCCCTGCCCGATCCGGAGGGAAGCAAGCAGCCTGCAGCGGTAACCGGTCTCTGCTGCGGCCCGGCAGCTGCTCGACCGAACTTTGCCAACGCCTGGGCCACGCGAGTAGCTGGGGGGTGGGAAGCACAAGGCCAGCAAGCCGGGGACCGACCGTCTCGCCTCGGGCTGCCCCAGGCCCCCGCCCCACAGCTGGTCACGCCTCTCTCTTCCCCCGCCCCCAGCTACATTTACCGAAGTCCCCAAAGATGTGACAGTACGGGAGGGAGACGACATCGAAATGCCCTGCGCATTCCGGGCTAGCGGAGCCACCTCGTATTCTCTGGAAATTCAGTGGTGGTACCTCAAGGAGCCGCCCCGGGAGCTGCTGCACGAGCTGGCGCTCAGCGTGCCCAGCGCCCGGAGCAAGGTAACCGGCCGCCCACGCGGCGCCAGCTTTCACCCCGCTAGGGCCGGGGCGGCTGGGGTAACCCCAGCGAGGAAAGCAGGGCGCCGCCCTGTGGTGCAGCCCATTTCCTACCCGCCCCATCCCCACAGCACAGCTGTTACCGTTAAGCCTAGTTAATTCATTTCCTTCTCCAGAAACCTCCCCCCAACTCCACGGCTAGCCCCTGAGAAGCCACACCTCATCCAGTTCGCCTGCTCTTGCTGGCTGCGGGCCCATAGGCTAATGGGTGCTGCATATTGAAAGAAGACCACTTGCTGGGGCCGGGCTTTCCCTGCCCTCTGCCGCTCTGAGGTTCTCAGGGCACAGGGCCAAGGAGTTAAGCTCCTCCGGGCTGGGTTCCAGAAGCCGGCAAAGCACCGGGTACATATTCCCTCCAGCCCCCACAACATCAGAGGGACTGCCCCCACTGCCCTTCTGCCTCTTAAACCAGTTTCTAGTGCGGGGGCACGCACACACACAAACACACACACCACCGACCTACCCTCTACCCAGAGTCCCATCCTCAGTTACTGCTCACGTCTCCCACTGGATTCTGTCCAGATACACCGGCCCCTCCATCCAGCTTTTCAAGGGGCCTAGAGAAGTATGGCAGGGAATGAGGATGAGCTGCGGGGGGGAGATGGGCCTTTCTTCCCACCCTGGTGGCAATCCAGCCTCCCCTCTTTGGCTGGCAGGTGTGCTAGGGCAGCCATTCCTTGGCCGGGCGCCATGCCAGCTCCAAGCCCATCTTCCTTCTGGGTAAAACTCCTGAAAACCCTGATGTCCTTCGGGCCCTCAGCCGTGGCCTCATCCCGAGCAGTTTCGAGTCCCAGCCCACCAGCAGAGGGTCCTCTTGTGGGAGGCGCATGTGAGTTCCCTGAGCCTGAAGGCCGGCAGTCTAATGTCTCTCTCTCTCCCTCTTTGCATTTTAGGTAACAAATAAGGATGCAACTAAAATCAGCGTAAGTGTGAGCCCAGCGCGGGCCGCGGGAGACCCCTTCTGGCCGCTTTTCGCCCCGCAGCTTCCTCCCTTTTAGAAAGGCTCAGCGGCCCTGCGGTGTAGGGCCCTGCTCACAGCATTGCGTTGTCGGCTGCTTGGCCTGTTGGGGCGCCATCTGTCGCTGGTAGCGGATCTGGTTCTTTTTTGTGTAAATCAAGGGTCCCAGGCTTGAATCTCCTTCCTCCGCTGTACGCTCAGCTGTAAAACTCTTCTTCGGGACCGCACGTTCTGGCCCCTTGCCCTAGCCATGACCCATACTCAGAATTGTGGCCCCTGCTCCCGCCCCGCACACACCTGGCACCCAAGTGGTGCCCTCCTCTGCAGCCCTCTCCTCGCCTGGGTTGCAGGTCACCCTGCCGGTTGCAGGCTGGTTGCTGGGGAGGGGGGAGAGACTTGCCAGGTTGCCAGAAGGTCAGGGAGGAGATGTACCCAAGCTTTCCAGGAAAACCAGGGCCTCCTCCTATGCTGGGTTCAGAGCGGAGGGTTCCCTAGGAGCTTGGTGAGGGCCACAAAGCCGCTGCTGTCCCGCGTCTCCACCAGGCTACAGGGGAGGTGTGCTTCATCAGGAGCTTCAGGCTGCCTAGCAGAGGCAGGTTCCTAAGTAGCAGGACCCAGAGGGTCCGTCAACAGCCTCTACATTTCCTGCTCCTTGGGAGTGTGGAGGGTTAGCTGTGAAGGGCTGGAGCCGAGCATAGGTATGTATGTGTAGTCTGAGGGCTGGGCAGCCTTCCTTTCAACACCACCCGGCCCTCCAAAATCTAGAATAAAGAAACGTTAGCGTGAGTAGATGTGGAGGGCCAGAAGTAAGGCCATGCCTCAGAGCCCATGTGGTCAGATGTGGTGCGCTGCTGTGGGAAAGACATGGAAGGTTAGTGTCTAAAGGCTGAGCCTGAGGTTCTCCCAGGTGACAGAGGGAGGAAGGAGGGGTAGGTTCTGCGGTTCTGAAGGGAAAGCTATGGGCAGTCACAAAGGTAGTTTTGTGTGGGCAGGGGGAGCAACCTGAGACACTCTGTTAAGATGTCGGGGAGCTGCAGACACGATGCAATGGGCAGGGTCACCCAGGGTCCACTTAGAGTTGAGAGCTCCAT